TTTCTACCAGAACGAGTATGAACCACTGGCTGTAAGTTATCCGGCTTTTGAGCTGCTATGTCGTTCGTGTTAAGCGCAGGCGTAGATAAGCGTTGTGATAGGTTGATAGGAGAGTATACGGTGGGATCAACGTGCGCTACTTTTAGTCGATCGACGCTGACGGTATCTTGAACAACTTTGTCGATGACGAAATATTTAGGTTGGCGCGAAATAACGCGGTATGGGCTGACGTACGGTGGCTGTAACGGTTTCTTCACCTGATCAACCCTAACGAAAACGAAGTCACAATATTTTAGCACTGGGGAGATTTGTGATGCACGAGTATGTAAACGCGTTGGTTGAGCTCTGAGATTTCTCACAAAGGAGCGTAAACGATCAACATACATTGTTGGGTCTATTCTCACTGCTTCCTTCGGCTCAGCAACAAACTCGCCGGAGAGTCGGAGAGGGCTGCCGTAAACCATTTCGGCGGTCGAACAGCCTAAATCCTCTTTCACTGCAGGTCGGATCCCCAAAAGTACGAGGGGGAGATCCTCTGCCCATTTTTAAGGATTACCGTGAGCAATCAATGCTGCCTTCAGCTGCCGATGGAAACGCTCGACTAAACCGTTGGCACACGGCTGGTAAGCGGTAGTGTGGATGTGCGTCGAGCCAAGGAGACGGCTAAGGTCTCGAAAGAGCGAAGACTGGAACTGTGGACCGCGGTCCGTAGTGATTGTTGTTCGTACTCCGTACTCGAGAAAAGCTTGAGCCACGGTTTCGGAGTGTGTCTTTGATCGGCACGGCGATAGGCCAGCGTGTAAAACGATCAATGCATGTGAAAACATACGAAAAATTGTGTGACGGAGGCCACGGGCCAACAAGGTCTATATGAACATGGTTGAACCGACTATCAGGCTGGAAAAATGACCGAGAGGAGTAACAGTATGTCGATGGACTTTGCTCTTTTGACACGCAATGCATTCACGAGCCCACCTAGTGATGTCCATATTCATATTAGGCCACACAAACCTGCCACTGATAAGCTCCCGAGTAGCTCGGATACATGAATGCGACAAATTATGTAACTGATTGAAAGTCACCCAACGGAGTGAAGCAGGTATAAATGGTCTGGAAGAACCTGTGGAGACATCGCACGTGACACTTTCGGTTGAATTGGATATAGGAAGTTGTTGTAACTTTAGCGACGGAAAAGAAGACTGCACAAGTTCAGTATCACTCTTTTGATGTACAGCCAGCTCAGATAAGCGAAACTCTGTAAAACCTAGAGAATCAGTCTGCATACGTGAAAGTGCATCAGCAACTACATTTGATTTGCCTTCAATATAACGGATGTCAGTCGTAAATTGAGATATATATGCCAGCTGCCGACTTTCTCGGGGAGAATATCGATCGGACGTCAAAACTGAGAAATATCGACCCTCTAAAAGATGTCGAAAATGGCGTATTGCCAGATACATAGCTAATAATTCTCGCCCAAACGTGCTGTAACGGGTTTGTGCGGGCTGCAGACGTCTTGAAAAGAATGAGAGAGGTTGAAATTCTGCATCTTTTATTGTCTGAAGGACTGCACCGACTGCTTCTTGCGAGGCATCTGTGGCGAGTTACAAGTTGGTGTATGGATCGGATGGAATATAATGCAAGAACGTCGAGTGAGTCAAGCAGGATTTCAGTCGGTTGAATGCTGAGAAAGCTTGTTCGTCAAGAACTAACTTGCGAGTACCCTTTCGACACCCACAGTATAGCCGCAAGTAATTTCACTACACGAATGCTATGTTTGCATACACGATATCATACTCCTAGTGAAAACAGCTTTGATAAAGTTGTTTTGTGAATGTTCCAGGTCGGATTTTCACCACACTATCAGATGCATAACGTGGATGTGATGTAATGATAGCTCAGGCCCATGATTATGCTCCCTTTTTTCACAAAAGTTTTCTCAGTTCTATAGTTTAACTTAGAAACACGCTAATTGGTGGTACCTTGTACGACGGGCGCACTCACTAAGTTTATTCAGGCGTTCTAGGACTCTCTTGATAGGGCTGCATCTACTATCTTTATCGTTACTATCTACGCTTGGGTGATTTGAACGCAACCTTTTGTTCCCATTGAACCTTGTAAAAGACCGCCTGTCTCTCCACTCTAATGCGCTGTTCATGCTGACCATCGAACCTGGGGAAGAGCTCAACAAGTTGAAAGTTTAATCTCGTGAGCAAAAAAGCAACGAACTAGGTAGGATGAATTTTTTTTCTGAATTGAACAAATGCTGGTCTCTGTCATCATTTTAGAAGAGAGCCATGTTGTTTCCTTGACTTCTTGCGCTTGTATCAGCAGAGTCGACTAGTTTAAAAATGTAAGATCAATCTTTATCGTGTACGGAACTCCAGAAACACCGCCGAACGTATTTAACGGGTTCCATTTTGTCGAATTCAAACTAATTACAAAGCTCAACAATTTTAGGGTGCTGCGCTCCAACAGGCATCAAACAATGCTGCTGTTTCTTACTTACAAGTGAATATGTCTAAGCTTCCTCATAATTTCCAACACACATGAAAGACACCTAAGGTTGACGGAAACTCAGGGACTGCGCCTACCTGATGAGCCCCAAGAAGGGCGAAACCGGTCGTGGGCTGTCGAAGAGTTTTCAGCAACCTTGTGAGTAGTTTCCTCTATGAAGACATCTAGCTCTATTTTTTGGCTTAGAAGAGCATGATTCAGTAGTATGCAACGTCTCTTACTTTGCAGTCTTTTTTATTTTGGAGTGGGTTCGTTTACGCTGTATACACCCGACGCTTCAAAAACCGAACATCACAGAAAGAAGTAATGATATCAACAAATCGTGAATGTAGAACTATTCACATTGCAGCGGCGTTCCATACATTGCAGGATGGTGATGGGCATTCAAGAGTACTTCTGTAAAGCAGATTAAGATAACACATAAAGTTCAATAAATGGAACGTGAAGTCATCGGGGATCGAATATCTGCACGACATTGAAAATTGAAATTGGAAATTTAGCGTTTACCTTAAGGAGTGAAGTCATTTGGAATTTGATTGTAAAATACAATTTCCTGTATATCAAACAGCAAACGAAATCGCCATCGTACCTTTCAAGACTGAGCTTTTCGAATTTCAAATTTAATACTATAAATGTAATCACTTGCAATGTTGCGTTTTTGTCATGGAATTCGCCAGTACGCACAGTGATGATGACTCCTAGAGTAGTGACGAAACTTTTGTAATCTATTTGACATCCTCGGTGAACAAACAGAGTACCTCTGCTTTCCATTTCTCGCAGCACCCTCACACACGCGTTTTGTACCGGACTGAACACGGAACACCTCCCAATGAGCTGTACGGGTAATGGTGATAATGTTTTCATCAGTCTGTCCACATACGAAGAATGCAGAGTATGTAGCACGGTAGTTCTCAAAACGGTTCAACTCATCACTCTCTTAGCCACACATTCGAGTTAACTGGCAACGTCACTGGTGTCGGAAAACTCATCATGAGAAAGCTTTTCCTTTTTTCTAGGTAAGTCTCGTGTCATAACGAGGGGGTTTAAATAGGTATGGTGGGTTGTGCTCATGAACAGTGGGATAGCAATAGACCAAACAGGGTATCCAATTCCCATACTCCCAAATTTGACGGATCTGTCACCACCCACGGAAGCGGTTCCGGGCAGTCCATCTCTAGCACACGTTCTGTAGCCAAAAATAGATGAATGGTTGACTATTTTCAAAATCCAGGATGGTGGCTAGAGGTATTTTCAAAGATGGATGAATTATCGCTGCTGTTCAGATAGCACTAGTACCATCCGTCTACTGCTACCAGACTCTTGTCAACTTGTCAACTTCTGCGACCGGTGTCCTTTCACGAAAAGCCACAGCAGACATCAAGTAGTCGCAAATTATGAATCTTACAGAATACCAAACCACCCGCTTCATTTGCTATTCTCCCACAAGTTTTTAAATGAGGCTTTTTCGTCATGCTGCCTGGATGCGTTTAGCTATTTGGGGTCCTTCCGCGGCTACGTTCAGAGCCAAATTCGTGCAAGAGAGTATCGAGCGTGCAAGCTGCATCATCACCAGAACAAGCTAGCTGGTTTATAACATACTGATACGTTGAAACTCTGACTTTAATGTATTCAGATAACTAACGGCTAACTTGGGTTTATCATAAGACTTCCGCAGTCGGACAGAATTTAGTGTCACACAAATGTTCAATGGTTTGGACTTACGTAGAAGGGACTGGCTCCAAGACCATGTGAAGCTTCATCTCTTTTGTATCAAATTTACAATGCATTCAGTGCTTTCTAGGTGTAATTCATTTCTTATCCTTTCTAAAGCAAAACACATGCCACAAGATCATTTTTGAAACATAAACGAACAGTCGCATCTTGAGGGCAGATTTTTATGCGGTCATATAAGACAAATTGGTTCAATAGGGAGCACCGCATCACTGGAATCGGGAGAAATGGCACTAATGTAATCAGTCCTGCAAACTGTCTACCTCAAAGAAGACTAGTTTAGCGCAGTCTTTTACAAACATTTATCAGTGGGAGCAATAGAGATATAAATACGGGTAAAACACACCCAAAGCATAATCACATACTAGTTAATCTATCTATGCGCATATAATTTCCTGTTCACGTGTATGACAATTGTGTAGAAAAAACAAAACACATCCCAAGGAACACGTATGTTCCCTGTGTGGTGTGTTCAATGGTCTGATCCACACACTAGATTCCCTTGTGTTATGCAGCAAGGAATTAAAATTGTCTCCGTAAAAAGCATCATAGCAAATGGAACTTGGAAGATTACCACAACCGATTTGTTTTTATGTTCCACAACCATAAGATTGAAAATCACACGTTGAGCTGGACAGTTTAGAAAAAAGAAAGGATAAGAATAATTTGGGCGTGAACAATCCCGCACAACCTTGAAGAGCTGTTCAGTTTCATTGTTGCGGCTTCTGAACAGCAGCACTATCGGTGAAACTTCAAGTTTTGTCAACAGACCCTGAGGTTTTGGGAGACTGCTGAGGGTCAGACTGTGGGTACTGATGAAATGATCCTGTTACCGGTCTGTCTGGATTTGGTTCACCCTGCTTGTCTACCAGTCGCTGGTATGGTGACAACAAGGAGTTGTCTTCGCTTGTGGAGGCGCGAGATGATTTAGTTGCAGCCTCCACATTTCCCACAGGCACTATACCGTCAACGTTTTCCTCTCGATCTGGTGACACACCAGCCCCCGAGGCTGCTCGATCGAACGGCCTTAAGGCAAGCGGCGACAAAGCAGCAGCTTCCTCATCTGTGAATGTGGCATTGTAATTTTTCAGTCGATAATCCCGCATAAAGCCGATCACATTCGCCTCGTGAGAGCTTGGTATGAGTAGTCCGATTGCAGCACAAAGGTGAATCACAAGATAAGAAAGGAAAAATATCCGGTCTAGGACGAGGGCCACCATTCGCCATTCACGCAAAATCACATTCTCTGTATCCTTTTTCGATACTCGAGAAAGAAAGGTGCGCACAACCTTACGAATTTCTTGTACCTCTTCCTCCAAACTTTGCGATAATTTTGTAGGCGAAAGAAATGTTTTGATATCATCGGAGAGCTTGTGATCAACAACTTCTGGCTTTGTACATATCGATGTAGTCAACCCTATTTGAGGAACAAGCACCAAGCGTCCGTCTTGGTAAGCATACTGTACCTGGCCACAGAGTGGGTGGCAAAGAGTGGTGGTAGTGAATTTATCTTCTATGTTCCCCTGTCCCCTAAGTCCTCTCTGAATATACTGTGGGGTTTGAAAATTGTTCACGAGAGTGCATTCGTTTCCGCCCATAGGGTTAGAGCTAGGTTGATTGGTTTGTCCCATTTCAGGATGATTGCAAAACAAAGTTTGGGAAAGACCGGTGTTTGGAGGAGAAGGATTGCCGGTGCCAGGTCGTTGAGATCTTAATGCATTCAAATGTTCCTGACACACTTGGCATGTCTGTGGGTGTCTCTGATGTCTGGAGCCAGTCATCACATTCTGAGATGGCGAACGTGGTTCCGTCGGATATGGGCTGTTTAACTCCATAGTCGCCACACAAGGTTGGCAGAGTTGACACACATCTCTGCATTCGATCAGGTTATTCGGTTGCTTAAACTCCTGGCCTCTGAACAGAGGTTCGAGTGTATCGGAGTTTATCTCAAAATTGGACTTGGCTGGGGTCCATGAGCGGCTACGGCCTTTAGGTTCGCTTTCATTTGGGTCTAACCTAACTCTTCTCTGGCGGTGATGCATGCAGGCGTCCTGTTCTTGATTCAGCTGGTGAGCATTTGGTATAGTCAGACTTGTATCATGTGTTAAAATGGTCTCAAAATTTGAAGTAATCGTTTTTGTCGGGGCAAAGCGCGTTTTAGGTCTCTTTGTCCTTCTTTGCAGTACGATGGTTTCGTTGTTTCCATTCGTCTCCAGTCTATTGCCAGACAGGGAAAGGATGGATTTTCCTGGAGCCAGATGAAATGGGGCCAGCTGCTCAGTGCTCATTGCAGTTCTCGACCCATCTGCCTTGTAGTTCATTTCTTGTGTACTATCCTTAGCGGTGTCTTTGTTTGTTTTGTTATTGTTCTTGCCCGCACCATCTGACTTAGTTCTTGTAAGAATGTAGCAAATCTGAAACAGCAAATAAAATAAGGCAAAATGAAACACAGAGATAACGAAAAGCCAAACAATCTTAGTGCGAGAAGCAGGAAACTAATGAACGGATTACCTGTCGTTCATTGGAAACGGGGATAAAAATCGTTCAGCTGTGACACCCTTTGAGTCTTCAGCTGTCTTGCTACGTGAAGGAAGTACGAGTGCTGGGATACCGCTGGGTTGCCCAAAAATAGAGAGATGCAGGGGTCCGGTTCGAACCACCGAAAGTCCGGTTAGTAAATTCGCGCTCTAACCACAGGAGCATCTCGGTCAGGGATGAACAAGTTAATGTTATGTCAGCTGCAACGACCACGAAGTTTTATCTTCTGAATCGTTCCGTGATACGATTTACTGTGAGAACAAACCTTAACGTTCGGAACGCAGGCTGTGTCGTTTGGTCTAGTTTATTGGTTGATTTTGCAGGTAGCTAAGCAGATACCAGTGCTTACACAAAAACCCATAAAACTGAGTGCATGCTAGTTAACTCTAGCTCCACCATCCCGTCTCCCATAAAACCCCTTGAAGAGTAAATAAAACAATTCGCCTCGGAATGTATGAACCGATTGTCAGTCGGCCAGTGCGATGGAATGTCTTTGTGCTCCCGTGTCTGCTTATTTAAACATGCTCTCAGAAAGAAGTTTGACGACAATGGACAGCAAATACTGCTGCACGTAATATTTCGATGAAGGACGTGAAAATGAAAATGATTTCAGTTCAGACAGTTGTACACTTTCGAATTAGCATGTTGAATGTCTTAAATTATTCGAGTTTTACTTAAAATGTAAGTCAATGGAAAACACTAAAACGCTGAGGTTCAACGAAACAAACTACCCGAATTTCTGTGTGACTACCGGTTAGCAGAAATGTAATGTACGCTTCACAAAACGGTTCTGTTAGGATGCACACACCAAACCGAAGTACGTTATCCGGTTTATAGATAAATCCGGATGCATATTAGCTGAAGCAGCTTACTGAAGTTGCTAGAAAATTTGAGGCCCATAGCTGTTTGGGCGACAATGGACTACTCATTTGCTACCTAAATTAATTCGGAGCATCAACCGTAGTTCGTGCTACCGCATGACAGTGCTTGCTTGTATTTTCGCAGTTGGTCGAGAGTATTGAGCCTGTTCTCGTAGACTGTAGGCTCTGTGTATCTCTAGAGAAAAAATGTTCATATTGAGCCATGGTGATTTTGATAACCATTTAGTTGGTTGATGCTGACTTATTTCCAAAAATTGGCGAGAAACCTGAGACGAGTGAGGTGGCACCACACTAAAGCAGCTATGTCGTCAGTCTCATAAGTCGTACGCGGCTCTGGAGCACGTGTCTTTAGGAAGCTTAAAACAGTGGGGATGGAAATTGCCCGATTGTTTTCCACTAGATGAATCTATATCAGACAGTGGGCTTTGTGTCGTGCCAAATATGAGTTCTTCACCGGTTTGAACCTGACCGAGTCCCAAAAATGAGTAATGGACAAATTGACATGCAAATGAAACACCACTTCTACGTGTAACACACCATTTGAGAATTTACCGAAAACTTTTCAGACAACGACTGTTTTCTCCCTTCTTGGTGTTCATCAGGTCGATGCAGCCCGTCAGTGTTTGTCAACCTTGTGCTATACGTGCAGATAACCACACTTGAGAGATTCGGCTGGATTCATTTGAGTCTCCCGCCAGAACCAAATTAGTGTGCGAGCGAGAGCAGTTGGCGAGAAACTACTTCACTCGTAAACACAACGGAAAGTATCCACATTCATAGGTTGAATAGAATACCGAAGAAATTCCAGTCTGCTCTCTAGATCGCCATCATGCGTACTCGCGTGAGTGCTTTGGTCAACGCAGCATCCCCACTAAATGTTCCCACAACACAGTGAATTACAACAGCTTAGTGAAGACTCCCTCCATGCCGCAAATGAGCTGAACGTGCTAACCTTTAAGTGTAAACTGGACATCTGCGAGAAAACCGTGGGTTAGGTGGTCCTCGCTATTATTGCATTTTGAAGGATCGATACATTGGAAGCATTTCCGAATTGCCACCATTACACCCGCGTCTCCATCGGGCCTGAAAATAAACTTTCATCGTATTCCTTACCCCCATACTGGCAGTCGAGTTGGCGTATACAATGAATTGCCCAAAATCCTGCACACAACTAGTAGAATTCGTCTGGATTATCTCTACTCTCTCTTTTGTTCAATTTTGTCGCCGAATTTTTCATAGGATGCATGTTGCAAATGACCATGAAAGTGGGTATCGAAATCATGTCTGAAGAGATCAGTCAATGGATTATATGGTGGATATCGCTTTCCTGACTGCTGATTACTTGTCTCCATAGACTACACTAACTGGCACACTGAAGATGTTTCAGCGCGCGTCTTACATCTCCAAAGAGTAAGTTGTTTTGCAGGGGGGGCGAGTTGGACC